GGTGCTCAGTCCTTTCAATACCTCTTTCCTCCTCACTAACATGCTGTAGAATACTATGTGGAATCAGAAATCCAGTGGCCAAAAATTTTGAGATCATGTGGCACCGATTTGTTTGTTTGTTTGTTTGTTTTTTGGTTTTTTTCGAGACAGGGTTTCTCTGTGTAGCTTTGCGCCTTTCCTGGAACTCGCTTTGGAGACCAGGCTGGCCTCGAACTCACAGAGATCCGCCTGGCTCTGCCTCCCGAGTGCTGGGATTAAAGGCGTGCGCCACCACCGCCCGGCTCGATTTGTTTGTTTTTGTAAAGTCTCGTGTAGCCCAGGCTGGCCTCAGACTCACTATTGAGCCCAGAATCACCTTGGACTCCTGATCCTTTTGCCTCCACCTCCCAAGTGCTGGGATTGCAGAGGTGTGCCCACACCCCTGGCTGGATCTCATTTTCAGAAATAGTAAATCATTCCTAGAATTAAGACTGTAGGAGGTGGATGACTGAACTGAGGGAAAAAAAAAAAAACTTAAAAGGAAATGGTGAGGTGTTCTTTTTACAATCTGGCCTAAAGGCACAGAAGGTAGTTATTGCCAGAAAAAATGTACAAAAATAGCAACAAGCTTGGGCGAAGGGTAGAGCCTCCCAAGGCAGGAAACACTATGTGCTTTGATGCAGGCACATCCCAGCAGAATGGGATAGACGTGTCAGCAATACCATTTACAGACACGGGCGCAATTGTCATTGTCTGTGCCAAGATGGTTAGAGGGGCCAGAGTTTGCACAGCGGTTATACCATAAAGGAATGGGGCTAGATACATGGGGTCCATGTACCTTCTCACCCTTGTCCTCTTGGAACCTGCAGCTCTGGCTAGAGCCCCACACTGAGGCCTCCCCATCTTTCCAGTAACTGCTGTGACTTCTAAGGGCTTCAGGGGGCAACTAGGCAACCCATCTAGCTGGTTAGGAGCCCTGTGCAGAGGGCAATTCTGAGTTTCAAATCAAGGCCCGGGGGTTAGCGGGGAAGGGATGGAAGCAGGGAACAAAGACCTTCCCTTGACGTGGTTCTTCCAAATCAGAGGTCAGAGGCTCCTGCCCTAGCTGCAGGGCCTGGCACACTGCCTTCCTTCTCCCTAAAGACTCAGCTGTGCAGGCTCCAGGCCCAGATTCAAGATGACCCAGGCTCATTCAAAATGAAAAGCCCCCCTGGTCTGCTGGTACGAGGACCAGAACTCCGAGTCTGGGAGAGAACAGGAAGTGACTCCAGGGAGATGAGACAAGCGCTGTAGAAAGACACTAGACAGGATGCATATAAACACTCCCCCCCCCCCCGCCCCGCCCCTTGGTGACCACACCTAGGAGAAGAGAAGGAGAAGGCTAGGAGGAACAGGCCTGGTCTGGCTTGAGCACCAACAGAGGTGTGGGAGCGCAGGCAACTGCTGCCAGGGACCAGGGCAGTGGCAATAGTGGCCCCAGGAGGACCTGGTGGGGCGAAACCTCCCTGTGAGTGGCCACTGCACACACCCCTCCCATGGCAGGTAGTCACAGGACCAAAAAAGATATTTATCACCACTCAATGCCCATCCTATGGAAGAGACACAAGGCTTTGCTGAATTAAAAAAAAAAATTGATATAATTTGGCACCTACTGGTTTACCTCTCAAGCTTTAGAAATTAAGAAGACAAGTTTTGCCAGGCGGTGGTGGCACACTCCTTTAATCCCAGCACTCAAGAGGCAGAGTCAGGTGGATCGAGGCCAGCCTGGTCTACAGAGAGAGATCCAGAACAGGCACCAAAAAACACTACACAGAGAAACTTGTCTCGAAAAACCAAAAGACAGAGAGAGAGAGAGAGAGAGAGAGAGAGAGAGAGAGAGAGAGAAGAAAACAAGTTTTAAGTAGAGCCTGATGATGGTATCCCTGTAACCCAAGCTACTCCAGAGACTGAAGAAGGAGTGTAAGGTCAGCCTAGGCTACATAGTGAGACCCTGTCTCGATAAACAACAAATAAATAATGTTCTTTAGTTGTGGACTCTCCCACTGCCTGTTTGACATCATACACATTTTAATCCTACTCTTTGGGAGTGAACTGAGGATCCAGATGTGATGGTACACACCTGCAATCCCAACACTCTGGAGGGACACAGAGGAAGACTGAAAGTTTGAGGAGAGCCTGTGGGTGATGGTGGCTTGCTGGGGGGAAGAGTGCTTGCTACTCAAGCATTAGGAACTGAGTTCAGATCCCCAGAACCCACATAAAAAGTCAAACATGGATTTATGTGCCTGTAACACCAGCACTGGGAGTCAGGGGGCCGGAGCAGGGTGGGGTAGACAAAAGGATTCATGGGGCTTGCTGGCTAGCTCCAAGGTCAATGAGAGATCCAGAGACCCTGTATCAAGGGAATAAGGTGGATAAGGGTGATAGGAAAACTGATACCTTCCTCTGCCACCCCCAGGTGCATACAAACATATATAGTACACACACACACACACACACACACACAAGAGTACACTGAAAAATAACCTTACAGAAAGCTTCAGAAATATATAGATATGAACATAAAAGAATATGGCTAAATTTATAATGTAAGCATTACAGTTTGGATAGAAAGGTATCCTGGCAGCCAGGAGCCAAGGAATACCACAAAGTCCACACCGCACAACAAACCTCACAGAAGAGATTTATTGGGAGGGAAAGAATCAGGAGGATGGCTGCCTTTGCTTGGGCGAGAAACAGCAGCCAACTGAACAGGAAACAGGCAGGGCTTGTTATACAGCTTCATGGGAAGGGGTGGAACTTTTCAGGGTAGAGATTGGTGGGATTTTACGTCCAGAGATTGGGCTTTTGACTCTGTAGGGTGGGGGCAGGGTCCAGCAGTTAGGGCAGTTAGAGTATTTTTGGGTGGAACGGGTCAGTAGGAGGTCCTGGGAGAGGGGCCTGGCCTGAGGGGCTTACATATAAGATAAGAGATAGGCAGGAGGTACTCCAGTTAATACAGTGTCCTGGGCTCCACAAGCCTTTTTCTATTCTGCCTCACAAAGCAGAGACCATCTTCCCCAAACTCAAATGCTCACACACCAAACAAGGAGACAACAAACAAAGAAACAAATGGACAAAGTCTACCTAGTTTTGTGGGCCAGGAAACTGTTGGGCAACAGAATGGGATGGAAGCGGACCAGATCTTTGAAAGTTGCTATCACAGCAGTCTACATCCTACAAGCAACCTGATGTCAGGGGTACCCAGGGCTGATGTCATTTCCCAAAGGCCACAGAGACCTAGAAGCATCATTAGTAACAAGGTCAGGCCTCTAGCTGTATGTGGCAACACTCAAGGCCAATATACTCACCTAATGAGCACAAATCAGAGATGCCAAGGGCTGAAGTCAGCCTGATCGCTCTAAAAGAGCGTACGCATCCACACACGTGCTTGCGCACACACAGGCACACGAGCCAACTCCCTGGCTTAGGGTTTCTTGTTCATTCAGCCTCACCCTTTGAAAGCATTTCCAGAATTTTGGCTAGTACCCTCGACAGCTTTGCTGCACACACATCCTCAGAAGTTAAGAGTTTATGGAGTGTGACCTGTTTGTCAGCGATTAGGTTCCATGAGGTTCAGCTTTCAACTGTGAATTTTCACCCATGACTACAGCAGGAAAGTTACAGCCTGCCAGAGGGGATTGGAGCCCTGAACCTATAGCTTGGAGTTTCCCCTTCCAAACGCTCCAGAAGCTCGGAAGTATGGCCCCAGTGAGGAAATAGATGGCTCTGAGGGTTTTAAGGCAGGCTTGGGATTCGAGCCTATATTAAACATACACAAGACCCCTCCTAATCTGCCTTGGTCTAGATCCCAGGATACCTTAAAGCAATGGAGCCTGGCTGAGGACCCAGGGCAGACCACTCAGGGGACTGGTAAGAGACTTCTGAGACACATGACACTCTGAGCTGCTCTGCTCCTCCAGGCTGGAGAGTATCTGGTGGGTCGCATAGACTTTTCTGGAAGTCCTCATTATGCCTCCTTCCTCCTTTAACAGTTGCACAACAGAAAGTTCATGTAGTTCAGAGGACAAGGAGGAAGACTAAAGGAAATAGTTTCTGTTCCGGGGGGATTGTTGGTGGCTGCCCACCCTCCCTCCCTTCCAGGGCAATCACCGGGAGAGGGTGTTGAGCCTGCTGTCACTGGGGTGATGGACATTTCTGAAGTCTTGCTGTTTTGGGAGCCTGAGTCTCATGAAGACCTCAAATTTGCTTTGTAGCTGAGGATGACCTTCTTAAACTCAGCTGCCTGCCTCCACCTCCCGGAGGGGGGCTAATACAGCGCTGTACCACCATGTCCAGCCGGAAGTCTCAGGAGACAGGACCGCGGAGGGCAGTTTTGCTGTATCCTTCTGAATCAAGGCACCTTTAAAAGCACTTCAGCTATCATCCACAAAGGCTAATTCCTTCTATGCTGAAAAGTATGTGATGGCTCTAGGCGTCTCCAGAGGCAGATTCCCAGCCCTGCTTCTCCTACGCCCCTCCCATCCTAACCCCCACCCCCACCCCCCACCCTGCCAGGGCTTTGATGCCCAGAGAAAGCAGGTGGTTCTGGTGAGAAGGGGGTGACTGGGAGGCCAGCAGCTGAACTCAATTTCCAACTGGGCCTCCATTTCAAACTCAGTCACAAAGAGCTGCGACATTCCCAGGACACAGCAGCTTACAGCTCTGGCTTCTCTGTTCTCAGGTATGTGAAAGCCTGGCTTGTCCGACGAGTAGATTAGAAAAGGATATGGGGATGTGTCCCCATACTTTAAAGCCAAGGGGAGAAAGCCTAGTGAAGAGAAGACACAAAACCTGTTTGGTGACTTGTCACTTTAGAGAGAACAGAAACCTCTCCAGGTGAACATTCACAGCCCTCCCCTTCCTCCTTCCATCCAGGAGCCTTGGCTGGAGACTAGGGTGAGGACAAGGGACCCAGAGAAGCAAGGCTACTGCTCATCCAGACTGCACCACTATTAGATGACAGAGGTTTGAGAACACAGTTTAGGGCAAAACTAAGTTTATTAACCTTGCCAGGTCATGTCAATAAAGTAGCCAGAGAGAAACAATGCCTTCATTGTACATGTATCAGCTAGGAAAACAGTTGGGTAGCAGACACACATTTTTTTTGATAAGAGCAAATTGTTGTCATATTTATCTTCTCTTTCTTCCTCTTTAGTACATGTTAAAGAGCTGATATCACCTGCATAAAAAAAGCTGCCACTAAATCCTGGGAAAGTTCTGATCCCCATGGCCAAAGCCCTGGGGGTTTGGGAATAATGTCCTTCTCTTTGGTTTGTTTTGTTTTGAATTGATACTAGGGTTTCATAGGCCTCATTGATCAACTCCACCAAGCTCCTCATGAAAGCTAGTTCCCAATGGGGTCCTACCCACTAGCAGTGTGTGCAAAGAATTCTACCATCAGAAATCTGCTTCTGTAGCCCTGCCTGTATGCCCCCTGATTGCAGAGGGCTTCATGATCAGCTGCTGTGCATGGCAGGGACCTCAGCATGTCTGGTGGGTAGCATCCTATAGTCTGACTCTTCCTTTCTCCTCAAGCAGCGTTACAAGAGGATGCACCCTTAGGAAGGCTGTGAAGATCAAAGGTTCGGCCATTTTGTAAAGATGAGCATGCACACTAGGTAGGGTGCGGATGTAGAGAGGAGGCAAGAACGGGAGCCGACGCTTCTCTCGGGGACTGCTGGGTCGGGCTGTCTGTGGCTGCGAGACTCTAGTTTGGACATCTGTGTAGAGAACCGTTTAGTAAAGAAAAGGAGAAACTGTTTTGTTTGTTTGTTTGTTTTCCTGACTTTTACATAGTACGATAGAGTTTCCTAAAAATGAAGAGCTGTTTATAAATGTCACTTGAGGAGAAACTGGGAACTTCAGATCAACTTTCCTTTTTATTACACTCTTGCTTTGAAATATGGTCCTTCAACGCTGGGAACTAGACGTCAATTAAGAATGTCACATCACATAACTACTAAAAGGAAACTGATTCTTTTCAGCAGGCAAGACACACAGCAGGGCCCTCAACACTCACAAAAATGGGGCTTTAATCATTAGGGCTTTGGACACACGAAACAAAGTAACAGTCAATATAATTATGGATTAAATAGAAAGAAAACATGAATAAATAGAAGAAAAAGCAGTAACCCTTTAAAAGGAAATAATATAGTGCATAATGTAATACAGTTGTTTATAGGTAAGATAAAAATGTGTTTTTCAAAAATGTCATTACGAGAATATATTAATATATAGTTAAACTCATTCTACTCACAATAAAGTCATAGGAAAATCCTCTATAAAGAATATTTGTAACAGCTGTATTAAGACCTTCAATTATTAAACACTGTGTATGGCATCTCACTTTGTCAAAGAGAAACCTCCTGACTCCGGTCAGCAAATCCATCATAAGTAGGAGCAAAATTAAAAGTACTTTTGAACGTTTAAAGCCCTTATTTAAATTAAGATTGAAAAAATGTCCGAGATAACTTCAGGAGAAGAAGAGCTGGGTGAGTTGGTAGACCATGGTTCTGAGGAAATAAAACCTAATTGTCCATTTTCTTTAACTAACAAGGTAAGTGGAGTCCCGTGAACATGGCCTTCGGCAGCCCATTTGGAAGTCTGAGTCTCAGTAACTCTCCACTGGAAAAGAAAGGGGCTCTGTAACGGAGCTGCTGAGGACCTGTGGGTGTGTCTCTCAGGCCAGCCCTTCCCCGTCTATTTTTAGAGGTTAGAAACGCCAGCCTTAAATAGTTTTGATAATAACACTTGTGGCCACAACTCTGCAAGACAAAGTCTGGGAGAGAAGGAAACTTCATGTTGCATAACTGAGTTCACAGTTTTCTCCTTCAAATGAGTCCTGAGATGTTGCTCACAGCACATAACCAATCAGATAGTTTCCTTCTGCTACCCTTGCAACCCAAAACTAGTGAAGTGACAAAGATTTTAATTTTTCTTTAAATGAAAAAAAAAAGTTCTTAAGTAAAAACAGGAACTATCTTGCTTATTTGAAAGCAGGAAATATTACTTTAATTGGGAACAGAACATACTGTTGAGGAAAAGGTACTTAGGGTTCACGTGTCCTTAGCCAACTTCCATAATAGGAAGAATTCTTAGTGCCTCGTCACAATGCTGAGGTGTCTGTGACAGAAAAGGAAGTGTTCACATCCTGTAGTTAGATAATGGTGTCTTCAGAAGCAGATACTTATGTAGTAATAAATGTGCATACACAGACACACGGTACTCATGTATACGTTAGCATAGGAACATATATTTATACACAACAGACTCATACACATTCCAGGAGCAGATGTTAGAGTCGCATGAGATTGCTTTTCTCGAAATTACCACCTTTTCCAAACTCGACCTCCTGTTTTACTCTCACAATTCAAAGTTACAGTAAATCTTACTCTAAAGGGTTCGTTTAGATTTTCAGTTAAGAAAATGGGGCAAACCAGGGAGGCAGAGGCAGGCAGATCTCTGTGAGTTCGAGGCCAGCTTGGTCTACAGAGTGAGTTCCAGGAAAGGCACAAAGCTACACAGAGAAACCCTGCCTCGAAAAACCAAAAAAAAAAGAAAAAAAAAAAAAAAGAAAAAGAAAATGGGGCAAACCAAATTATGTCAAGAAAAAAAAAACCAGATTGGTAAAGTACCATCTCCCACCCTCCAAAAACAAACACACAAACAACTAGACTTCCAAGTGTATATTGACACTGTAAAAATTTAACAAGCATTCTTTTTAATTTTCGAGGAGGCGGGGGAATCCTGAGCGTCAGAGAGCTACTACATTGGCTTTCAAGTCCTGCGTGTGGGATAAAAGGCCTGATCAGAGATCCTGGACCAAGTCAAGCCAAGGCCGTCCTCACATATATAAGCCATAGATCATCTGCAGCCATGGAAACCCACAGGTCCTAAAGGTTATTCCGTGACCCCAGCAAAGGAAGAGGACTGCTCGGGGGCCTGGTCCTTGCTCCGCTGGCCTGACTCCGCGCTGCCCGGGACACAGGGGTTGGGGCAGAGGTTTCTTCCCTGAACATGCAACCCTTTGTGCAGTCCGGCTCCTGTGCTTACAGAACGGGACACCCAGTGCCGGCATACAAGGTCTACCCAGCCACTCCGACAGTCCCACCCCTGGCCCTCACAAGTTCTCCTTCAGCAGCCCGAGCTTGCGCAGGGCCTCACGTCGTGCTTCCTCCGTGGAACCGCGGCCGGAGAACTGCACGGTGATGCCCTGTGGCCGGAAGCCCCCAGCCCGGGGGAGCGAGCCCGTGCGCTTGCGGGCGTCCTGGGGGCCATCCAGGCGAGGCTCGTACAGGCTGCGGCTGGCGTTCTGGCGCGCCAGCTTGCCGGCCACAGCGGGGTCTGGCCGGAAGGTGATGGTCTTGCTGGTGGGGGCGAAGGCGCTGGGCTCGCTGCTGCGTAGAGCCTCATGCACGCTCTGGAAGCCGTTGGCCAGCGCCGGCGCCGGCGGAGGCTGCTCGGTCTGCACAGCCCGGGACTGCTGCGCCCTGGCTGGGCCTCCTGCACGCGGCCCCCCGGGCTCCCCGGCCATGCCCACCCTGCCCTGAGCGCGCCCCCCGTCCGCAGAGCCGCCCCTCTGCTCCTCCGCCTTCTGCCACCGCTCTTCCGACGACGTGTCGCCCACGGCGATGAAGGACATGCCATTGATGTTGGCCAGGACCTGGGCCTTCCGCTCCTGCACGTTGACCGCCGCCTTGGAGATAGTCTTGTTGAAGTCCTTGCCCGCGCTGTTGGTCACGCTTATGTTGCTGGGGAAGCGGTGGACCTTGGGCGCCGGCTGGGCCGTGTGTCGGTGCCACACGCCAACCTGGTCCCCATTTCGAGAGGCTATCAAAGTCGGCGTCCTCCATTCCCCAGGCCTGCCCTCCTTCGATGGGGACGTGGGGGACAGGGCTTCGTTTCCCGCCAACTTCTCAGAAATTTTCTGAGCGATCACCAGAGGAGTGGGCACGGAGCGAGGCAGTTTGGGATGCTCTGCCGGAGGAGAGGGGGCCATCAGCTCCTTTCGGGGGGCAGAGGGCGCAGAGACAGGCGAGGAGGGTGGCAGAGGAAACATCTCGGGATCCCTGGAGTCTGGTGGTGGCAGGGAATTCTCAGCGGCTTGTTTCCCACCTTCAGGAACAGGAGTGCCCTGCTTTGTAACAGATGGGGCCCCTGAAAGAAGAGAGGTCTCTTTAAGTTTTCACACCAGTAAAAGTAGACACGTGGTGTTCCTGCCCACTGAACTTCAGAGAGTCACCGTGGGACACACTACCAACCTCTATAACGCCTAATCAAAATGCTGGTCCTGCGGCCCGGACTGGTGAAAGAACGCAGTCCATTTATTCTCAGGGCCATACTCTGAGAACCAACAGATTCTGGAAGGGTGGTCAAGATCTAGAGCCAGAAACAGCCAGTTAGGAAGCAGTCTGGAAAGGTATGCTTCTGAGCCCCACCACCCGGGGGTCATGTGACAGGAGGCAAGCAATGGCCACCTCATCAAGGGTCTTTACAACGAGACACTGAGTGAAGGATGAGGGTGCCCATCTTGAATCCCAGCGCTCAGGAGGGAGGGAAGGTGGATCTCTATGAGTTCAAGGCCAGCCTGGTTTACACAGTGAGTTCCAGGACAACCAAGCCTACATAAAGAGACCCTGTCTCAAAAAACGAAGATATAAAAAGAGGGGGTTAGAGAATCTCTGGGTACCAGTGCTGAATTTTCCAAACCCATTTCCTTTGGTGTGACTATATGATCTAATCTTTTTAAGGACCAGCTGGTTCAAATTACTTTAGGAACTATGCTTCAAGGCAGAAGTGTAAAAAAAAAAAAAATGCAAAATTTATTGTCTCTTCTCTCAAGGGTTGGCTGCAAACCCTTCTCTTTTTGTATGGAATCCATGACTGCAGGATGTCAATTCTGAGTAATGCAGTTTGCTTCAAAAGGAAGCACACACAAGCCAAGTGTGGTGCATACACTGTAATCCCAGCGCTTGAGAGGCAGAGACCAGAGGGCAGAGTTTGAGGTCAGGCTGGGATACCCAGCAAGTTCCAGGACAGCTGGGGATCCTTTTCTCACAAAGAAAGACTCCCCCACTCCCAGAAGCTTATGACAAACACCAGTCTTTACAGTCTGCAGGGCACAAATGTTTTCTTTCTTATTTCTTTCTTCTCCTGTCTAGTCCTAGGTGCCTCCTTTTTTTAATATCATTTCCCATCAGCAAATAAAGGCTGTAAGAAACTTTTCACTGACCATTTCCTTCTGGTTCTATCCCATGACTCAATGGGACTCAGCATACCTACCTCCTCATTGGTGCTGCTCATGATGCAGAGCGTGCAGAGTAGGTGCTGGCCTGCCCCTCTCTGCTCTTTCTACCTCACAGAGCCATGTGTTAGAAATGGGACATAACCTTGCAGCACAAATCAAGTGCCCCGAGACACCTAAACACACACACACACACACACACACACACACACACACACACACACACACACACAATCTGTGTGTTCATTTGGTCTCTCCTCCCTCTCTCCTTTCAGTTGGCCTTCTTTTTGGAGTTCCCTTGCTGGAGAGACTACCAAGAAAATGATTCCCCCTTCTAGAAGCTGAAAAGCTTCAACAGCGTCTGTACTGACAAGCGTAGGCCAACAGCGGGAAGTGCTGGTGTGCCTCGGGTGCACCACCAAACCAGGTCAAAGGCTGGGGGACCTGTGTGTACCTGCTACTTGAGGCGCATCGGCAAGACTCTCAGCTTCCCCAGACACAGGTCCTGGCTGCACTAAATCGATGACATCTTCGGGGTCGGAGTGACTGGAAGGACTCTCTTCCAGAGACTGTGGAGAGTGGCAATGAATGCCACTGTCGCACAGGGCCGGCTCATCAAAGTCGTAGTCCAGGGAGTCGAGAGTCTCTTCGAAGAACAGGATGACGTCCTTCTCCTCGTGTGTGAGGTGCTTCAGGCTCTCATCGTCCTGCAAGTAGGTTTGGGGATTGGTGAGAGATCAAGAGTGATGTCAGCAAAGAGGAAGAGTCACAAAGAGGAGCAGTCAATACCTAGTCTAGGGGAGACTTCTCTGGGTCCTGGAAGGTCCCTGCCATTTGAGTCACCCCACTGAAAAATGACCTGTAAGTCCCTCACTATTTTACCTGCATGAAAAAAAAAAAGGTACTGTGAAGACATGCAGATAACCCAAAGCCTTCACCCCTACCATGAACTCTAGCAGGGGTTACCAGTGAGTCAGCACAATAGAGGAAGTCTCCAGGAGTTCCGCTACCAGACATACTGCTGACTCCATGCTAACAAGGGAGACTTCTCATTAAACACTGGATTCAACTCATTATCTCCCCTTCCTCCAGAAATGCTGCTAAAACAACAAGGGGCCTTACTAGCGATTAATTATTTTATGTTTATGGTATGAGTGTTTTGCCTGCAGATATGTCTGTGCCCTGTGTGTGTGCCTGGTGCCCACAGAGGCCAGAAGAGGGTGCTGGATTTCCTGGAACTAGAGGCTCAGAGAGCTCTAGGCTGCCATGTGGGTGGTGCTGGGAATCGAACCCAGGTCCTCTGCAAGAACAAGTGCTCTTAATTGTTAAGGCATCTCGCCAGCCTAGGACCTTATTAATTTCCTTAACTAGGCATAAATCACAAAGATAAAAATAACAGGAAAAGAGACAATGCCAACAAATGGGAGGTGGAAAGCAGAAGGAAGGTGGTGACGTGAGAGGAGCCAGGGCTGCGGTTTACATCAGTGCTGGGAACGCCTGTCGCCAGCCTGCTGGGTGCTGTATGACCTGGACTGAGCCCAGCCAGGAATAGAGTGAAGGGCTCTGCTTCAAGGGCAGGGCTGGCTGGAAGTCTCCCTCAGAGGCAACTGGGTCATCCCAGCAGAAAATGAAGGGTTGATTCTTAAAGGAGTTCGTGGTAGAGAGAGTGAAGCTGAGTTGATGGGGCGGAACTGTACAGGAAATGGAGGAGGGGGGGGAAATGAAGCCAAATGGATTCCCTGGAGACAGAGCACTGTAAGAGCCTTTGGCAGGGGAAAAAGGGGGTTTGAGAGGCCAGAAAGGATTCTTCCAATCTTTAGCAGTATTAATTTACAGGTGGAGGCCAGTCAACACTTCCCACATTAGAATTTCAACCAGGGGCTGAAGAAATGATTCCTTGGAAAAGGGAACACACTGTTCTTTCCAAGGACCTGAGTTTAGTTCCCAGCACCCATACTGGGCAACTCACAACTGCCTGTAACTCCATCTTCAGGAGATCTGATGCCCTCTTCTGGCCTCAGTGGGCACCGTACTTATGTGCACAATGCTCCCTGCCCATATACACATAATTAAGAATTAAAAAATAATAAAAAAGAAATTTCAATCCATATTTTTCAGACAGTCTTGAGAGCTAAAGGTGGCAATGGGAGGGGAGGGGATGGATTTGTGAGTTATTTGGAAAGCAGAATCAGCTCCTCGTGTGACATCTGTTTGCCCTATAGCTGCTGCACACCCACGCTCTTCCCCTCTATTAGACCTCACACTTGAGAATCACATTCTAGGGGCTGGGGAGATGGCTCAGCCGTTAAGAGCACTGGCTGATCTCCTAGAGGACCTGGGTTCAATTCCCAGGACCCACATGGCAGTTCAACCTGTAGCTCCAGCTTCAGAGCTTCTGACATCCTCACACAGACACACATACAAGCAAAACACCAACGAACATAAAATAAAAATAAGTTTTTTATAATATATAATATATATAATTTATTATATTATAAATATAATAAAATAAGTTTTATATAATATATATTATATATGTTAAAGAATCGCATTGGCTGCAGGTTTTCTTGCATCCCACAGGGAGTTATTGTGACCAAAATGTCAGGTCCCTCCTCACCATGTATGTCTGTTCTGACCTTTTGACGCCTAGAAAAGCTTCTAAGAAATCCAGCAGTATTCACTTTGTCATTAAAAAACTTGTGTATACACAATACACATACATATATGTACATATGTCTGTATGTGGCAGGAGAGAAAGCTCGGTAGTTAAGAGCACTTGTTGCTCTGGTAGAGGACCTGGATTTGGTTCCTAGCACCAACACGGTGGCTCACAACCATCCATACTCTAGTTCCAGGAGAGCGGATGGTGCACAGACACACATGCAGGCAAAACACTTGTACACATAAAGTAAGATAAAATGAAATCCCCCCCACACACATTGGTGGGGACATCTGAGTGTCACACACACATACTGTGGGGACATCTGAGTGTCACACACACACACTGATGGGGACATCTGAGTGTCACACACACACATTGTGGGGACATCTGAGTGTCACACACACATACTGTGGGGACATCAGAGTGTCACACACACACATACTGTGGGGACATCTGAGTGTCACACACACATACTGTGGGGACATCAGAGTTTCACACACACACACACACACACACACACACACACACTGTGGGGACATCTGAGTGTCACACACACATACGGTGGGGACATCTGAGTGTCACACACACACATACTGTGGGGACATCTGAGTGTCACACACACACTGTGGGGACATCTGAGTGTCACACACACACATACTGTGGGGACATCTGAGTGTCACACACACACACTGGTGGGGACATCTGAGTGTCACGATGTATGGCATTCCCACCTCATCTCTTCACCACACACTTTATTTTTGTTGGACTGCCTGGTCCCCACACTCCGCACATGCTGCCCTCAGTCACAGTGTGACAGTTCTCGGCCTTCTACCCACACTGTCTCTTTTTTCTTTTTCTTTTCTTTTCTTTTTTTTTTTTTTTTTTTTTTTTTTTTTTTTTTGGATAAGGTCTTTTTGTGTAGCTGTTGAGTTCTAGAACTTGCTACATAGACCAGGCTGGCCTTGAACTCAGAAAGATCCTCCCAAGTCCTGGGATTCAAGGCGTGCTCCACCAAGCCCAGCTCATTCATTGTTTCAACACAAGCACTGCAAGCCTAAAATCATTAGGACTCTTGGCATAACGAAGGTCCCTCTAGTTAAGTTTCACCCGTTATGGATTTTGTCAGGGTGATATCACAGAGATAACAGCCATTACACAAGTGCTGACCTCCACTGCTGAAACATGGAGTCTAGAGAAACAGATTCATGCTCTCTCCCCTACTGTGACCTTTACGCAGGGCACTTCAGCAGATGCATGACATTTAAAAGATTTTTATTTTTAATGATGTGTATATATATGTATGTATGTATGTATGTATGTATGTATGTATGTATGTATGTATTGGGGGTACATATGAACACGAGTGCAGTGCCCATTGAGGCCAGAAGAGGACACTGGATTCCCTGGAGCTGCAGTTACAGGTGGCTGTGAGCTACCTGAAGTGGGTGCTGAGAAGTGATACCCATCCAGTCCTCTCTGCAAGAAGAATATGCACTTTGAACCGCGAGTTACCTATCTCTCCAGCCCTACGCATAACTTTTGGAGTCTATTTCGGTTAGGTGTAATCATTCTCCTTGGCTATGTAGCAGGACTGAAGTTGCACTAGCCTGGCTGTGGGTCTAGCTCAGTGATAGAAAGCTTGCCTAGGATGCTCAAGGCCCTGCATTCTATCCTCAGTACTATAAAATAAACGTAACATAAACATTAGGTAAAAGTTTTCAAAAACAAGGCCCTAGAATGGACCTTCAGCTTAAGATACATTCCGATTTCCCACAAGAAGACGGCAAAGTAAGAATGGACTCTAAGGGCTGGAGAGATGGCTCTGCGGTTGAGAGCACTTGTTCCTGCAGAGGCCCTGGGGTTTTATTCCCAGCACCCAATGGTGGCTCACAGCCACTTGTAGCTCCAGCTCCAGCAGATCCAGTTCCTCCTTCCGACCTCCGCAAGCACCAAGCACATATGTGGTGTACACACACACACAGGTCAACACTCACAGACATTAAAAAACAAAAGGATGGGCCATGTCTAATCCAAACTGAAAGCAAGCAGTCCCAACATGAGACCGCATCTGGAAAACAGGCTTAGGAAGGTGCTCCCCACGTGCCTGTTCATGCCTGCACACTATGGAAAGGCCTGGCATGACTTTCCAAGGGTCTCACCACTACGTCACCTTCTGTTTCGCCCTTTCTAATCCTATTCTAGCAAGTGCCGACAGATCTTACAGAGATGCCTGCCTGAGTCTTGTGCAATTTACCTGGGGGTTCTTCAGTTCTCTTTTCCTTTCACTAATTACACAATGTGAGATACAAATCAGCTCCGGCCAGTCTGCTCAGGACAAGACCCCCAGGTCACTCAGACCCTGGCATCCTCAACCTGGGGGCTTTCTCTCTAGGGTGGGGCCTGAGTGAATGGCAAGCTTTCTTTGCCGTCAGCCTGGCCTGGAGTCCTGGATTGTGGCAAGGTCAAACATGCTGTGGGTTCGGCGTGTTGCCCAACTTCTAAGACCTGAAGCTTTCTCTCAGTGAATCTGGACTCTGCATACAGCCAGGTACACCAGGCCTGGAAAAGGGGCACTTGGTACCAGGCCAAGATGGCTCCTGTCTACTCCTCCCATTCTGGGGAGATGCTGAACACTGCCTCTGACAGGGATGTAAAAGGAAGACATTCTTGGTCCTGAGGGAGAGGTTGGGCAGTAAGAGATGTGGTGGCTAAATATATCCAAAGTCAGAAAGGAGGCTATGGCCAGGAGAGTAGAGCAGGACTGGCACGTGACTGAGAACGGGCATAGGCTTTCCTTAGGGGAGATGAAACGCTCTAGAACCGACTATGGTGATCTCTGTACACAGAGAAACCATTTAGTTTAACTGACACACAAAACATAAACATTGTATACTTTAACGGGGTCCCATGTAATACCAAACTAGGCCGGAGAGACTCATTTCTTCAAACATTTTTCACTGTGGTGAAAACTTTCACAACTTTTCTTCTAGGTTCTGCAAGCTTAGTGCTCGTTGTTGCTGTCAGGGTCAGCTGGGCAACAGCACA